CCAATCATTATGCCAAGATGATAGAAATTTTCAGAGTGGGTGAGAATATTTTATATGCCAAAGGAAGGGGATGGGGAGATTATTTGTGAACCTCCAGAAATGTAGATTGTGTAGATTAAATTATTTTCCAAAAATATTTTCTATACTTTCATACCATGACCCTCGAATATGTGTGAATTAATTATTGCTGTATAGCAAATAACCACAAACTATGGATAAGAAGTTCAAGTATAAGTCATCTAATTCCTTTGTTTGGATGATTCTCACAGGCTATAATGAAATTCACACCTGGGGTTAGGGTCTAATTTGAATGTTTAACTGGAAAAGGATCTGCTTACTAAGCCTTTTGAGATTATTGACAGAATTAATTTTCTTGAATATTTTTCCCATTTGTCAGCCGAAGCCATGCTCAGTTCCCAGAGATGTGGTACCCTTTCCATAGTGCAGATCTTCAGTGCTGTAGAATGCTTCATCAGAATCAACAAAGAAGAGGATCTAAAAGTAAGAGAAGATATAGTCTTATATAATAGTTACAGAAGTTGCCATAGAACATTGGTCAGAATCGGGCCACAGATCTATCCATGCTCAAGGGAACTAAGTGGGGACTATCAAGAGGTGGGATAATTGAGAACTGTCATAATGTCTGCCACAATAGGCTCCTCACTAAGGGACTTTGTACCCTATACATTTCAAACCTGACCATAAGATTTATTTGAGCCAATGGAATGTGGTAGAAAGTGATATGAACTGGAGCTTTAAGAATTGTCACCTGTAAAAGCCAGGCAGGTGGTGGGTACTTGTAGTCCCAACACTTGGGAGGTTGAGGCAATAGGATCACAAGTTAACACTGGCCTGGGCAATGCAGTAAGACCTTGTCTCTTATAAAAAAAATTAGGGGGTTGGGGGTGTTGCTCAGTGCTAGAGTGTATGCCTGAGGCTCTGGGTTTGATCCCTGGCACATCTGTTTGCCTTCTGCCTAGCTTATCTCTTTAATTCTCTTTTTAACCTTCCATAGCATCTGTGTGGATCATGAGAATTCTCCTGTAACCTGCATGAGTGCAGTCAAGAATCCAGACTCCTCCCTCAAGGAGTCTAGTCTAAAAGGCAAAGTTGCACTGAACATCAGGAGAGAGATACCAACCAATTGGAATATTGTACAAGTTAAGCATGAACTGCATGCAGAATGTTGAGCCATACCAGCTGAAAATAAGGAAATGTTACTTATGTAACCTCTTCTGGCTTCAGTTTCCTCCTAACCTTTGTGAAATGGAGAAGAAAATAATGCTCTGTTATTTTCTATCTGTTATGCGGTCAAATTCTACTCTAGACAGTTGTGACTAATGGGCAGGTCTCTCCTCTCAGAAACTCAAGCCTTCCTTCCTGCAGTGCACTGAATCCCAAGCAACAGGGTAACAATTGAAAGGGCATGTTCAAAACATGCAAATTGCTAAGTAAGTGCTTGCTCTTCAACACATCCAAATATGTAGATTTGGACTGTTAATCCAGCCTGCCATGATATTTTTACACAGCACAGTTTGGTATTTAAAGAATATGACTCTGGATTTAGAACTTCTGGTTTGAATCCCAATTGTTTACTGGCAGCATGACCTTGCTAAATAACATGAATCCTATGTCCCCTGGTTTCCTCATATGTAATATTGGGACAATACTTACAGGATTGTTGTGAAGATTAAATGAATTAATACCCAAGGCATAGAAGTATGCCTAGAAAAATTAAAATCCCTCAAAATATTGTTATCTTGGAGCACAACAGGAGAGGTGATCAAAGGGAATGATTGGAAGCTTACTTCTTCTAGGGAAGATTCTATGTCCTGGGGAAAAAATCTGATTTTTTGCATCTTACAAATTTTATTAGTCTATTATTGTATGAAAATTAGTCATGATATATCCTAAACATATTTTCAATTTCTATAATTTCTATTTCTGAATAATAATTCTTAAGAACAATTTTAAAACACAGTGCCTAGGAGGAATTACTAAAAATTCCTGGGACATCTTTAGATCTTTAGATCTCCAAAAGGCTCTGGGCATGGTGGGGTCAAAGCTTATACCTCCAAGGAGAAAATAATGATAAATTTTTATGCATATATGTATGTGCATGTACATATGATGTGCTAAAAAGTTGTAAGTAGAAAATGGAAGAATTCGAGAAAGAGGGATATAAGGGACTTAAAGGGTGGTAGGATCTGCTGGGGTGATGATGAGGGTCAGGGCTTTAGTTTTTAATTTCCTCTTTTTGTCCCTTCCTCCTATACTCAAGAAGTCTCTTGTTTCTTAGCTATGTTGTGTGGGTCTGGAACTCTAGAACGGAGTGGGTATTCTCTGTGCAAATCTGCCTGAAGCAGCAGTAAGCTTCAGATAATGGAGACCTTTGTCTGATTGCTTCTGCATTTCAGTGAGCCCTGGGACATTGATTCCACCTTTTATCTTTTGTGTGGAATTGGAGTCATCTTTCTGTCTTGTTACTGCATTCACTGGTGAACATATTTCTCAGTAGCTGGAAAAAAAAGAAACATTGATCAGGTAAGGGAACCCTCAGTTCAGTTTTTTTACTCCCTTTATTCTAAAGTAATTATTAGAATAGAGAGATAGCAGGAAGGAGAATTCCTCAGGAGAGATCAGGACATCCTTCAGGAGAATGAGTTGTGTGGGCAAAAGATAGGGCGGGGACAAAGGTTTTTATTCAAGAGTTCACAGATCATCTGCTTAGTTGCGGTAAGAAGATCCAGAGTAAAATCTCAAATATTGTGATTCATGGGCCATGAATTGGTTTTATAAAGAGAACTCAGAAAACCCAAGGAGAGTTTTGTCTTCAATGCTCAGCAGCTGCCTTACCATCATAGATGTCTCTGGGACAAGCCTCTCCTTATTAGGTTTAACCTGGAGAGCAATGCTGAGCCTCTGAAAGCCTACTCCTGGTATAGAATTAAACAGAGTGGAACATACATATTCCTGATGATATGGGATTCTATGTCCTTTACAGTAGAGGACTACCATTTGAATAACAGTTGAGGACTGTAAATAGTAAACCGTTCTTTGAGTATACAAAGAATCGGTAGGAAATATATCAACTTTAAAAGTGAATAATGGAAGAAATATAACCCAAATCAATATAGAATGTCACATTATTAATACTGGATGTCTGCTGCTTGCTTAGATTGGAGAGAGTGAGAAATGGGTTCCACCTCTCATTTTTTTTTCCTTTCAGTGGCAGGAAGAGAAACAAAGCGAGAGCTTTCAAAGATTTCACTATTCAATCCAGGGCTCTCCCAGAGATAATCATATGTTTCTCTTTATAAGGTCTCAGTTACAGAATTGCTGAGGGTATCGGTTCCTAAAGTTAATCCTCAAAAAACCCCGCTCTTTGAGGGGAGGCCTTCAGGAAGTAAACCAGAATCGGGGACACTTCGCATTCTCAAGGGAATTCTTCAATCCTGATGGAGATGGGCTGTGGCTCTTGCCAGTGAGGTGGTGGTGTGAGATTTAGAAGAAGCATAGGTTATCGTGGAGGCAAATTGTGGGTCTTGACTTTGTACAAGTTAAATTCCCTAATTTTCAGACTCATCCTTTGAAAGAGCATCTGGCTTGCTACCCTCTGTTGTGATAATCCCCTGTGTGGAATCCTTTTCTAATGAGACAGCCTTATACGTATGTTAGCCTTACTATTGTCATTAACTTTCTGATAGTAAGTGCTAATTCCTGGGAAGTTCTCAGGGACAAATTTTGAAATGTCTTTTCCTAGTTGAACATTCTACAGAGACTCCTGAAAGATCCCTTGTTACTTTCTTCAACCCATTTGTTATTTCCCTAATAAGAGCTTTCCTGAAAAGCATCAAAATGGCCATAGACCAACTTTCTCTTCGGAAATGATGATTTAATCTCTACAACTTCCCCTCATATCACACTTCCAGGCTTGCTCCTTGGAATTCCAGGATCTCATAGCAGCCTAGGGGATGGCATGAAAAGGAGACCCACGGGGGGAGTGAATTATGAAAGGAAGCCTGGAGTGGAGGGATAATTGGAGTATCATGAAGTCAGGAAGGTGTAGAAATGTACATTGTCAGACCTCAAGGCAAAACCATCCCCACTCTCTCCTGGATGCCCTTTTTACTTTGTCTTTTATAGGCACCTACACAAGCTCTCTTGAGGGTAGCTTTCCAGAGCAGTTAGAACAAGATCCATTTCCAAGGATCTTGAGCAAAACTATGGAAGCAGACATTCTGTTGTAGGAGGATCTGGGGAAAATGCTGTTCTCATTCTCATCTTTGGGATTCACTGAATTGTGATTCACTCTGGTCTCCAATCACCTACTAGAATGAACCATCTTACTTTTCTTGTTTTCACTGTCCATTCTGGGTGCCTTTCTTCCATCAGAACTGCATTCAACATTGTTTGTGTGCCCTGTCACACTACCTCCTGATTTTTCCTCCTATACCCCTAAAGACTACTCAATTATTGGATCTTATTCCTCAACTAGTCCTCTTTTCTCTCTGGGCTTTAACTCCTCACTTGGTCCTACATTTTCCCAGTACACTTTTCCTCTTTGGGTATGCATATTGCAAAGGCAGACTTCATGGATGGGGCCTCATAGCTCCTTGAAGAAAATCCTTAAGGGAGGATACCAGAAGAAAAATTCAGTATCTGGCCTGCGTAGCTCACTTCCCAAATCCTTTTCTCTGTGTTAAGAAGGATGGATGGACATAAAGTAATTGTCCTAAATTTTTTCTCATACCTCATGGTCTCAGGATAAAGAGGAGAGTAAACAGGATAAGAATCTATCGCCAATTTAAGAGAGAAAGGGCCATAAAACCTCAGGTGACCTGAGCTAAAGCATGTCAAATAGGGAATGCAAGATTGGAGATCTTCTACCTAAAAAAGATTCTTCTTAGGGGAGACTGTCAGAAGAGAACCCTGTAAATAAGTCACCCTAGTTCCTACTATAGGACCTGCCAAAGAGCACTTTAGAAGTGTTTGTTGCAGTGTCTTCATCCATTATAAAGAGTGAAGAGACAGAAAGATCATTGCATGAAACCAAGTTTGCTGCTGTGCAGAGCTCAGATCCTCTAGAAATCAGACTTGCCTCATTGGACAAAGGGGACATTGAAACTCAGAAGAACAAGCCCAGTCATTGGCCAGATCTTCCAGGAGAAATCCAGTTTAGGTATGAAATCAATGTAAAGAAAGCAAGTCCACCTGAGGAGAAGCTTAAGACTAAGGCAAATTTCAACAATACATTTTCCTGTGATTACCAGGTTTGCTACATTCTTGAGGAAATGAAAGGGCTGCAGATGACATCTTGACACCTTCAAGTATACTCTTAAGCTTCTGAACAGTCTAAACAATACTAGACAAGTAACAGAATAATTAAACCTATGAAAAATAAAGGTTCCAGGATGAGATAGTATGACTGAAGCAACCCAACTTCATTTTCTTCAGGGAGGTTTCTTCTGGGTAAAGTCTTCTTTCACTCCTGTAAACCCAGCAAAATTCTCACATTAACACTCTTCTGAAGAAGATGGGTTCGGTTTCAAATAATAAGCAGTTTTGTTCTTCTCAAATATATTTTTTCCACTAAAAGGAGAATGGTGTCTTTGTTGTATTTGGGGGGAAGTTTAGAGTACCCCAAGCACTGGGGCTTAGAGGGAGCAAAGGTTAGTTTGTTTCTAGAGCTGGCTTTGACTTCTTGTGGATGAGGATTAAGGAAAGCAAGTTTGTTCCATTTTCTGAGGAAATCCTATTTAAATTGGTCATTAGAATGCTTTTCTTATAGAAACAAAAAAACCTCCATAAATTTAAAACTGATTAAAGAATATACCCCTGGAACTACTGGATTCTTAGTTTTTCCCCTGTTTCATCATAGTTTTGAAGTATACACCACCCTAGGTTTGAATAGCTGGAGTAGAGTTACACAGGCATCATAGGGCCAAAATTTCCCACTGAGACAAGAAACTTCACATATCTCAACAATTGATAATGGAGTTTGAACATCTTGGGGTCTTTAGTACAGGAAAGTAAGGGCAACTCTACATGACCACAAATCTTCCATCTCTTTTCAAAAGTCCCCTGACAATTTTGATGGTAGCTGGAAGAATGAGCACTGCTACTGAATGTGTAACTTTTCCTTAAAGAAAATGTAAAAGTCACAACTGTTCCTTCCTCTATGACAAGCTCTGGATTAGGAGGAGACAAAGAACCCTTGGCTGTGTTTTAGTGGGTAGGGGACAACAGGCTGACAGAAGGGTTAGGGTCTTAGAAAACCTGAGTTGAACATATTTTTATTAGGCTAGAAAATAATTTTCCATGTATCTTTTAATTCTCAGTTCTCCCTCCAGCCAGTACACAACTGAAGCATAAAAGTTGATCCATATTGGGTCACCTTTTCCCATCCAGCAAAAGATAACATCCCCCTGAAAGCACCTGGGAATAAGTGTTTTCCAAAAAGCTGTGGATATGAGTGTTAGAAAAGTGGTTTCTGTCCATTGGACATAGAGCTGGATGACCTTCAAGGTGGCAGATGTTTGGGAGCTATACTGAGATAGACCATCAAATGGATGTGGCAAGACCAAAATATGTAAGCACTAGTTAAGGAGCTACTGTGTCTATGGGGTTCAATGATCTTGAAATAAAATTTGAACTCAGTTCTCCTTGAGTGTGTACTATGGGAAAGGGAACCCTCCTCCCATTGTGCCTGATTTAATGACATTATTTCAGGGCAAAGGGATTGCACTATTTTTTATGATGTGATGATTCAAGTACAGCCACTTAGCATCTTCAGGAAAATGAGGTCAAGAGTTGGGAAAGGTTGGGGACTGAGAGGGAAAGGAGGAAAGTCAGTGAGAAAGGGAAAGAGTAACCCAGCTAGTGGGAAGGAAGGAAAGAGAATGTTTCCATTATCAGTAAACATGGTACTCTCTACCTGCCCCACTCAAACCTATTTGTTTCAGACTCTACCGGGTGTGCCTCAGAATACAGTTTCTATATTTTAGAAGGTCACACACAGCAACCCTTCCTGAGTATTCTGCTTTCACAAAGATGATATGTCTACACAAAGGGAGCTGTGGCACAGTATTTTCAGTTTTTGATGTACTGATTCCAACTCAGCAGAGAGATGTGACATGGTCAGAGAAAACTTTGTGCTGCCTAGTATAGATGTCTTTTCTGAATTTCAGTAGGACTTAAGCCCATGGTCCACATGAATTTCTCTTGGATTTTCGTACTGTGAAACCTTTCCACAGGTCAATAATAGACCTGATACTTGTACAAAGTTGGGCACTCAAAGGCTCCTGAGTTGAAAGCCCTCAAGGAATCTGTGTGGTAATGGATTTGGAACATGTTTTTACTAGGGCTTGCTGAGTCTCCCTCGCTGTGTTTGCTCTGTTGGTCTGGACCTCTCACCACCAGAGTTTCTTCCTTGCCATTCCAGGAATGCCAGAGTAGGTGACCTACTCTTATTAAAAAGCTTCCATTAGCTTTCAGAATGGTCATCACTGGCCTCCCAATGACTACATCTGGACCAGGATGTCTTTCCTTCCCATGGTGGCCTTTGTGAATTGTGCCTGGGGAAGCCATGTTCATCTCTGCTCAGTTCTCATTTGTGTCAAACTTCTTCCCAGATTTCCCTTCCTTAAAGACGTTGAGGACAGAAGCACTATTCTTAGATGGCAGACAGTGGTCACAAATGGCTCCTGGAATAAAACCACTGTTGGGAGGAGGGCTAGAGGTGTGTTCTCCTGGTCTTCCTCACTGAGGTCTTCCATCCTGAGAAGAGACTTCTGTCCCCTGGCTATGAGTTTCTGGCTTGAGGGCAGGACAGTGGAATGAGTTGGTCTAGCCAACTCGGGGAGGTTCCTTTTTATAGGTCCTATGGTCATTGAGGACATTGTCCACAGGTTGAGCAGAAGATTGAGGGGCAGCCTAAAAGGCCGAATGATTGGCCCTCAGGTGATCCTCAAGGTCCTGGAGAGCATCGATTTTTGATGGTCATGATGAACACATGAAAGAAAACCCATGTAACCATACCCAGACTTTATAAGAACATGAATATATTTAAAACTGGGACAAAATTCACAGAAGGACAGAAAGGAGGATAGGGAGGAGAAGGGACGGGGAGGAAATAGGGGCCTTGCAAACCTATTTTAATATCAGCAAGGACTCCAGAATAACACATGGTTCAGTCTGTGGCTTATTGACCAAATGAAAAATGTTAGGGGAAAAAAAGGAAAAATACAACTACCACTTCTATAGAGAAGTTTTATACTGTAAGAAAAAAATGTTTTTAAAAAGCACACAGGAGTTATCACCAAAGTAAAACTTGACTACGTGTGTTTGGTTTTTGCTACTCATATTCTTTTGGAATTTCCAGTTCTCTCAATTACATGAGGTGTAAGAGTATGGTATTTTCCAAAATAAATGAAAACTGAGATTCAAATATAAAAACAATGGAATGAAGTCAAGGTATACTGTCACACAAATCCCTTCTTCCTAAATTAAAAAGCACACTTATTGAGTTAGACAAGCATATTTTTTAAATACCCATGTGAGAATTCCAATAAATTCATTATTAGCAACATTCACCATATTTAAACTTTGTATTTCTCAAACTGGAGTCAACAGAAAGCTTACTAGCCAAAGAAGACAACTTTTGAAAACAAAATCCTCAATAGTTTGTTTTAAATATCTTGAAATTCTCAACTGTCTTCTGGGGACAGTGGATGACAAGGATTTTTAAAAAACTTTCACACTGGAAATTTTTATTTTCACACAACTTTGTTACCCTAGAAACCAAATCAAATGCATAGCTAAACAAAACAAGGCAAAACAAAAAAACTCCTAGGCATTCACAAGATATTTTCTCTCTATCCCAGAGCCTTATCCTTCTCTCAAGGACAGAGTGGGCAAACATATTATAGCCATTGCTTGGTACTCTAAGAAAGTGAGTGTATAATTTTTTTTGGAAATCAAGTGTCTTTGGACAAGTCTTCTGGTCTCCACTGACACAAAATTTCCATGATGCTAGTGATCCTGAAAACCTGCACACAATGAAACTATTTCCAAAGAATTGTATGAGCAGCCACTCACAGGGGAAGCCCTGTATGGCAAAGAGGGAAGCTCAGGCAGTGTGTCTAGACCTACCAGAGCAGCAGCTGCTCAGTGTGAGGACAAGGAGGGGCACAGATCTGACAGATGTTCTTCTCTGCCCTCAACACTCCCAACTAAAACAATCTCATACCTCATCCCCAGAAACAAGATCCATACTATGGTATCGCAGCTGTGGTATCAGCTTCATACTCCTGGGCCAATGACTCTTATGTGGGTAAATCACATGGTTAAATAGTTCATGTTTATTGGGACTTACACTGTGATGGACCAAATAAGTGCTCATTATAGCCACAACACTGTGATAAAATGACTTATCATAATGAAAGAGTAAAAAGATTGCTCACAATTACAGGTGTCACATCAACATTATGGTTTACACTGACCATTTACTGGAAGCCAGACATTGTGGTGAGAGCTATGCAGGTATTAATTTGGTCTTACAACAAGTCCACAAGTAGGTGTTATTACTATCCCCTTTCCAGAGATGAAATGACTTCACAGAGAGGGGGAGGAGCCTGTCCAAGGTCATATCAGGCTTGAAGTCAGTGGCATCTGATGAGAGGTTGTAAAACCTGCAGGGCTGTGGCTCCACTCTGCTACCTATGAAGTGCTTTGAATGATTACCTCATTATTTTTAGGATTTCAGGAGTGATGTGAATAATCATTGAGTGGGGATTCTTTCACTTTGCACTTTTGCATGGTTCTAGCTTTTGAGTCTTTAAATTTCATTTTCTCTTTTTTGTTGATTTGTTTAAATCAATTTAGCTTCTTATGAAAAACAAACTTTCTTTTGTTTTACTCTCAGGATTCTTTCAACAAACAAGAAATAAGTAGCTATTGATATTAGCTAGCCCTGGAAATCAACAAGTATATTCATATCAATAGCTAATATCAATAGCTACTTATTTCTTGTTGAAAGGATCCTGAGAGTAAAACAAAAGAAATACAGACCAGGTCTGCAAATCCTAGCAAAATCAAGGCTCAACTTAGGCGAGAAAAATGCCACTCATTTTAGGAGGCTTAATATTTTGAAATAGCAACTTTTTTAACAACCTTTTCTTATTATGTGAGTCAAGAGAGTAAAAAGAGTAATCATGCCTCTATGATTCAGCTTCTTGATCTGTAAAATGACAGTAATAATACGTTGTGGGGAGACATATGTAAAGAACTTGAAAAGGGTTCTCTGTGTTTGTTATTGTTATGAATTTTTCACCACCATTATCATCTTCAGTAGTGAATGATCCTCCATTTCTTCCCCTTTTCTTCTGTTCCTTTTCCATTTTCTCCTTTCTTCCCCATTATTCTTCTCATCTTTTAATTAAAAAAATTTTTTTACCATAGTTTGGATCTAATATG